TTCCTCTCTCTTTCCCCCCTTCTACCCAGTTTCCCTCATCTTAATTTATTTCAGCATGAAATAAATGAAAAAGCAATGGAAGAAAACCTGTTTTGTCTTTAACAAAAACCAGAAATTCACTTTTTTATTTAAACAGAGAAGAGTACTAATCAAAATTAATGTGAATGAAAAACCATCCTTCCTGCTTAAGAGCTCAGTTTTAACACTTTTTTTTGTGAGGACACTGGAAATAATCTAACACCCTGAAAGAAATGATTTTAAGGTGACTGCTATTTTAAATACTGCCACTCCTGCAGGACACAGTAGCGGTCCCTCCAATTTTTCCTGTAACTTTCATAGGTACAGAATGGAAGAGATCAATCAAACTCACACTACAGTTAAGAAGAGCAGGATGTAGGGTTAATAGTATTAACTGTTTTAAAAGGCTGCTTAAAAATAGATCTAATAATGGCTTTGCCCTCCCAGATTTAGTTTTGCTTTTGTTGATCTAATGGTTAACAACCTCAAAGACAAAACAGTAAAATAAGTAAGACTTGCAAGTGACAGAGTTTGAGACTTCTACAAAAGGACAGAAACAGATTACTTCCCCTGTTTCATGTTGGTTTTATACAGATGTCAGTAGACATCTGAAATTAAGCCACCAGCACATCCTGGTGTACCCACAGACTTAAGTACGCTGAGTTCAAAACTAAAGGCGCTTGGCTTCCTCTTCAAAATGTACGTGCGGGGGGGTGTGTGTGTTTGTGCACTAGCACGTATGTTTATATATAAAAGCCAACAGGACCTAGGACAGGCATTTTACGAAAACATGTGCATTCTAGTTCATTATTTACGCTGCATCATAATCTTGGCTAATGTGCTGAATTCAGAAACGAAGACAGACATGAACTACCTTTAGGCAAGCTTTGCATATCAACATCGTTTTCTGAGTTTTCATTTGAAATATCTTCATTTACAGTTTCATCTAAGATTTGTTCATCATCGGATCCAACATACTTTGTTACAACTGTAGGTTTCCTGCACAGACAGAAAAAAACCCATACGATGACAAATATTACACATTGCAATACAGGTAAGCTTGGTGCTTTGCAAGCAAACCACCAAACTAATTGGGGAAACCAACGTTCTTTCTAAAGTCATGTAAGACATTATGAGGTGGGATGCTCTGAGTTATTACAAGTAAGTTGTAGGCTAATTTGCTTCTTAGAAATAGGAATTCTCCCCTCCTATGTGAAATAAAAAGATAAACTATATTTTTGTTTCACAGGCTTGCCGTAGTTTTTCTTTTTGTAAAATCAAGGTCTGATGTGTTTTTAAGAAGGTATGCAGGGAAGTCACGTTTCTAGGGAAAAACCCTACGTGAAACAAGTGAACGTCTGCTCAGGAATTTTACACATCGTTCCAAGTTTAACGGGCAGGGCAAAGAGAGCACAGAGATACTAGCAAATGACAAAAAGCAACTTGGCAGAAAAGATGTTTGCAAGGAAATAAAGGAAAGGCAGAAAGAAATTAAAAAGCTGACTCTTGAATAAAAGGACCAGTTGCCAGAATTCCACACAAACATAATTTAGAACAGAAGCCATGAAAATTCATGAATTTACTATGTCAGGGCAGGGGGAAAAAAAACAAAAAACAAACAAAAAAAAAACACCACAACATCGAGAGCATATTTTTCAGTAGTCTGATGGTAACACGTGAACTACTGCAGGATACTGGTTTTGTCAGTATCAGGCACAGTATGATAAATGCATGAGTGAAAGTACCTTTCGTGATAGATAGGAAGCAAAAAACCA